ACCCGCTCCTGTAATTACACACAAACAATGCAACAACAGAGTTCGTATCCTGCAATCATCTCGCATTATGTTGCGCAGCAAGCCAAGTGAAGGAACGCACCGACAGCTTTGTTGATAGCTTCACGCTTTGCCGCGCCATTTTCAATGAACGCGGAAATCGCGCTGCAACATGCCGTTACTTCTGCCAACATCTGAAAAAAGTTTATTTGTCAAAAGTGCAGTAGAGTTTTGAATCCAAAGAAGACGGATCAAAAAGTTATACCTTAGCACGGGCGGCGACGACAACTTGCTTATTCTGAACTATCAGCTGGGATAGTCTTTCCTCTTTCGCCCACCAATCTTCTAAGTCGAGCTGTTGGTCGAAGACCATATCACGTGCCTGAACAACGATTATCTAGAACTTCGAACGTCGCCCTTCCTACTAGAAGCAAACCCAATGAAACCTCGATCAAATAATAGAAACTGATACATTATTAGCTATACATAAAAATAATACTAGTTCTCAATGAATGAACTACAAGACGGAAACATCGTCCTGAAGTTTACCTCTTTCAAACGAATATATAGCTGCTTCGCTAGGTTATGAGTCTCTTGGAAGGCATTGTCGAATGTATGGAGACGTTCAGTTGTTAAGCTTAGCTCCTTAAAACGCAAGTCAACTGTTCGGATTGAGATGGATTATGAATGAAAAGGAGGTCGAACAAATCCGAAAAGCATATCTCGTACTTTCTTCGTGCTATCCAACTCATCAACTCGTTGTCGAAGCTTCGCTTCAAGCCTCTTATTGCGGTGATATAACTCGCGATATTGTTCATCCATAAGCTCTTGATCCTCAATAAACTGAAAAAAAAGACATGAAGAAGATCTGACCACACCCGGAGGAGAAAATGGACTCGATAGTCCTACTGGTCATTTTTGCCATTTATAGTCACCCTCATGTTTCTAATTGTACTACAGACAGTCACCTTGAACGTGAACTTCGGGTACAGGTTGCAGAAAATAGTTGGGTTTTCATCTTGTGCTTAGTAATATTTGGCAAAGATTACATGGTTAAGATAGAATGTAAACCAGGCCCTGCCCTCAAAGAAAAAATAGATAACAACAAAGCACACGAGGATTTCTAAGCAATCTCAGTCAACAATTTATGATACGCACCTTTTGCAGTTTTCCTATGGCAGCATCCAACTGTCCTTCCAACTCTCGCAGTTGCTCAGTTTTCTCTGCAATCTCATGCTCCATACCTCTGAAAGCAATACTGGTTCACTAACTGCGAACGCCAAAGGCCAATAAGTATTATACACATTTAAACAAAAAAAGCATTTTAACCAAACAGCAGATGAAGAAAAGACGAACTCACTCATAACTTTCCTGACTAAGGAAGATTCCATTCTTTTCCCGTGCAGTGCGAAGGTCTCTACGGAGTTTCTCAATCTCCTCATTGTACTCCTTGAATGGATGCAAAATATGTTATCACCTTAGCAATCTACATAAGATGGGATATTCAACCTTGAGCAAAGCCTTCCTTTGGACAGCTTTTGATTGCACTCTGGATGATTTCTTATAGATTTGGCTCTTGCTGCGTACTCCAAAGTAGAAATGCTCTCCTGTGAATTAATTAGTTAGAACTACAGCACATGACTATCCCGAACGTAGTTATATGGCAACAAAAAACCTCATAATTAGATGATGCCGGCGAGAGCGTTGCGATGATCGAAGTTATGGTTGAGCCACCGAAGACTGTCTTGAAGGAGACGAGTGAGTTTTGATTCTCTTAACAATACCGGTCGCAAAATGCTCCAAAAACAGCTATAGCAAAATGTAATAGGATACCTGTACGGAACATGAGGAGCAGAGGTCGTCAAAGCAGTTATACACGACCCAAGGTGAGAAGAGACTGATTGATATTTCCTAGCAATACGACTTGTCAAAACAATTTTGAAGAAAAATATAATCGAACCTGCTTCCTTAGCGCGTTTGCCCTCCGCACCAGATCGTCCGATATGTTCAGAACCAGCAAGATCAACCAAGTTGAGTTTACCCTATTGATGAGACAAGCACAATACTTATGAACAGTAGCTAAGGAACCTATTCAACAGCTAAATATGTCGAAGGTCGTGTAACAGAAAATAATAAAAATTAAGACGGAATGACTTTCAATGAACGGAAAAGTAGTCTGGTAGCAAATGACTCATGTTGTAACTAGCGGAATTGAAGATAGGTTTGAACCGCAATTTGAAGATCAAGACATATACATACTTACTTGCTTGACTAGTTCTTCGCCATTAGAAGTGTTCTCTCGAATCACGACGCTAACTGTGAAAATCGAGTGTGACCGACTGAAAAGGAACAGTGAGAAGTTCAGAGTTCATACATCGTGAACTTCATGTTAATTTGGTGAGTTACTGCAAGTACACCAACCAGCGAATTACGGAGTGAACCTAATCAGCAAAGGGATTGCAAAAAAGATTTCGACTCAGGACAGCTAGTAATGTACTTTCAATTTGTACAGAAGTTTTGGAAGCGAATTTTGAATCCTAATCACGACTTACCACCCCTGTGCGAGGATACTAGCTCCACAGGACACTTTTTGGGAGATAAAGTACGTGTTTCCTTACAGGATGCTTCCTCATGCTTTTGAAATGTTATTTCAAAGTGACTCCATCTGACCTTGAATTCATGTTCATGCGTGTTGCTGCCGTTGTACGCTGCTCGGCCCCTCTTTTCAGCAGAGTATAAACCTCAGAACGGTCCTTTACAGGGAGTTCTTCAGCACCCGATATGACGACCATGCCCTAGATGATGGAAGGCATTCTTTCGTAAGATGGCGCTTGATCACAACATAGCGCTTAAATACCTTTCTTGAAGGATCG